TGTGGATGAAGCTTCCAATATATGCTTTTTGGTGGGCAGTCAGTCCTCAGAAGGAAGTAAAAAACGGTAACACATGTAAGCAACAGCAAAGCATTGGGAAAGTTTTAAAGGGAAATCATGGCACGTCTCAGAAATTGAGTCTTTTTAATTCACTCAGACATAACCACAGCCATGCTGGCTCTTCTTCTGAAGACAAGACTCATAAACTCAAAGAAAGAATATTCCAGACAAACAAATACACACATGTGCACATGCATGTAAAAAGTATCCTTACGTCACCACCAACAAAGGCGGAATTCCCAGAAAACTTACATGCCACATTACTAGCCATGTGCTAGGAGACAACACTCCTTTTCTTTTAGTTCATTCAGTTGACATTGAGAAGAGCCGCATGAGTCTGTCAAAATCTGATTGGCTTATAAAAATGGAAAGTACACACCGTTCAACTTAATAATTACAAAGTTTCCACCATGGAAGGGACACAAGAATTATTACAGATCATATGATACCTTCACAGAGAGCAAAGAAAACAACCAACAAAACCCTTAGGATAATTTCACAAAAATCAGAACAAACATCATGTTTAAGTCTCATTTAGGATGATGTATTCACTGCTTGGTGTGGTGGCATATGTAGGGGAAAAATAACCACAAAATATGACAACAGATTAATATATTTTTATACAAAGAGATTCCATAGGACAAGAAAAATACAAGCCTTGCAAGGGAAAGACAAGCAACAGACTTCAACAAACAAGCCCCTAAAGGAAATAAACCAATAAGCAATTGTCAACTGAAAAAGAGGCTCCCTTAACACTGAGGGAATTAAAAGCTTGAACATGAAAAAACAAAGAACCAGAAAATCGAGAGGACAGATCAGTGTCTAGAATGACATAAATGACTCAGTAACTTGATCTTGAGGCATCATGCAGATATCCATACACAGACACTCCCCAACTGAATTTGTAACCACTTTTGTCATAGCATGTGATGGGGAAGGAAAATTAGGGAGACGAGTGCAAATGTCCTGAGTCCTTCTCTACCACTACCGAATATGTATGAGTGGCTAAAGCCCCTATTGAGCTGTAGAAACATAATTTTAAGAAATCTCGTGATTAACATGAATTGCCTCTACAAAGCAAAGCTGGAGGTTGAGGAGGATAGGACAGACACTGCCAAGTACTCCTTACTAATTTTTTTGAGCAATAGATACATTAATTTGATGAGAATTTTAAAATATTAAATGGTTAGTGATTATTTACATAACCCTGAGAAGGAAAAGGCCCTTAGGAGTCCCTCAGTGACAGCTTTTATTCTACTGGTCCAGCACCTACTTTCTTCTGCTCTGAACTTCTTTCTTCTTCTACTGTGAGTCCATATAGTTAAAGGGACCTTTCAATCCCCAGTTATTTAAGCAATGGCTTATGACTCGGACCCAATCCAGCTGTGATCTTGGTCCTTAAGGAAGTTTTCTCTTTTAGAGATAGACACAAGATTCATTGGAGCTAGTGAGTACTACCCCAGTCCAAAAAAGAAAAAAAATCCTATGGAAACTCTGAAGGAAAAGAACATGCTTCCTTGAAGTCACCAAGAGAAGTCAGTAGAAAGACACCTGAGCCCTGATTCGATGGAGGACTCAAGTTTGTCTGATCCTAATTGAAATGGGCAGTACCATGGAACATGATGATCAAGCATGGACCATGCAGATGCAAATCAGATTTGCTGTGAATTAATTGTGTCATTAACTTTTTCTCATGTACAAAATTGGAGTCGTAAAGGACCCTGAGTTAATTAAATGACTTAATATGTATAAAACACACATATATTCATGCAGTTATGTATTGCAAAAATGCATAGGTGTATTGCTTAATACACACATGTTATTATAGTAAAAATCATTTAAATATCTTTGTCCAAGATTCAAATATAAGTTATTACCTAGTTTTATTATTAGTTATTAAATTACTCTTTTCTTTAAGTTGGTTTGAATTTTCTGACAGTTGATAGATACATCCCAAAAAACCACACAACCCAACTGATAGATATATGCATCTTCATATAAACATAATGCTGTCATCATCATAAAAATAACTTTTTAAAGTAAATAGAAGAGGCTTTAAGTTAGTAGCATTGTTGCCCTTACATATAACAAGATGGAGACACTGTAGTTAAGGAGTTAAAACAGGAAGTTTCACAAATTGAAAATAAATGTGGAGGTAATGTTTCTGTTTTCAAAGAATAAACAAATGACATTAATAATAAACTACTTTCCCCATGATACAGCTAAATGTTATTAGAACTGGCTAGTGTTCGATGGACCGCTGGAAAGAAGAAAAAGGTATAAAAGTCAGGAAGCAATTCAGCTGTAATAAAAATAAGCATAATTATTTTTAGAAATTGACCTAAGGCCATAACTAAGATTATGAATAAATATTCTTCCTAGTATTAGTAGCTTGTGTTTATATAAAGAAACACTAAGAAATGAATATCCAAAAGCAGAATTCATTATTCTATATGCTACAGTATTATATTCAGTCATTTTATTATTAAATGAAATAAATAGGCTACCCAACTGGACAGTGAAGGCATGTTCGGTTGTATAAACTTTTGCATGTGTACATGGAAAGTCTACTACCCATCAGATGACAGTAAAATCTCTAGAAGGCAGAGGTAAAATTCCTAACCTGTTGGATTTAGCTTATTTCCTGCTTACATGTATATTTAATTCTTCCTTCAATAAACTTCAACTGACTTTCAGTAAGAAAAAAACCATTTTTAAAATCATCTCTAAGGGTAATTTCAGTCAGCATTTGCAGCCAAACTGTACTCAAACCATTAGAAGAAGATCTGAGAAGAAAATCAGCCTTGCTTAATAAAATCTCCTTTCTCCAACCAAGGAGCAAAGGGTCTGATGAAAATGTGTGGTTGGTGAAATGGAGAGTCTGCACTGGGGATGAAGAGACCAAAGAACACAAAGAGGGGACCAACTGGGAAATTACAAGCTCAGCTGCCAGCTGGGCTTTGCTGGGCAGCTGCAACCCCCCCGTGCCAACCATACTCCAATGCTGCCCAGGTTCAAAGACAGGAAAGAACCCCTCCTCTTGGCCTCTTGGTGTCTGAATCCCCTATGCTAGTACAACAGGCACAGTGCATAAGCAATGGTCCCAGGAAAGAAGATAAGAGAATTGAAGCCTGTGAAAGGACCCTTGAACGCCCAGTTCTAGAAGAGTAAACACCATCCACAACTGCCAACATAATATACATTTAATCTTACACACGAAAAAATGAGTTTTCAACAGTTTGTACAGGTTACGATGCTCGGTCATAAAAGATTGCCATTTCCTTCATCTATTTGGAACATATGAACAGCTGGTGACCTAGATTAATATGTGAAAAAGCAAACTATATCACAAATTACTTCACAGATGGAAAGTCGACTCAGTGAAAAGCCTCAGACGAAAGATTCAAGTGATTATTTGGTGGGGGGGGAATAACTACAATTGGGCAAAATGAAATGTGGAAAAATGATGGCAAAGTCTTGTCCAAATCTGGAGGTAGGCAAACATCTCATGTCTGGCTATGGAAGGGGCCAAGTAGTCTGGCTAATTCCGCTTCTGAGGGAGTGGCAGGAGGAGCCTGGACTTCAGGATGAGCTTGAGTAGATATTAAAAGCAATACAATCCTCTTACAGCACTGGGAGGGTGCATGTGTGCAGGCAGGGAGGGGCTACAAGCAGCATGGCTGGGCCTGAGGACTGACAGAGTTCAGTGCTCCCTGGCTCAGCTCTGGGAGCAGCTGGAACTTGGCTAAGTGCTGTCAAAGTAAGAAACAAGGAAAACCTCATTTCCAGAAACACAGGAAAACAGCAGACACCCTCATCCAAGGGTCAGAAATTAATGTGATGTGAAGCAAAAGCAGTTCAATTTACCCAGGATCACTAGCCTAGGTACACGCTCAAATACAATGTTCAACCTCCAATATAAAATGTCCTTGGCTCGGGACAAATGAAGAAGACCTTACAGGGTCAGATACAGCAATCAGGAAATCTGTGGAGCCCAGTACCTGCAAAATGCGCCCCCGCCCACCCACTGCCCAGAGCTGGGCTTGCTATGGATCTGGGTTGAGTTTGTGCACATCCCTCGGGAAGAGACATAATTTACAAAGGCTAATTTCCTCCGGAGCGTGCAAAACAACTGCGACCCCAGCCCCTCTGATAGGAGTGGGTTTTGTTTTGCCCTCTTCTTAAACAGAGAAACAAGCATTTTGTGCAGAAATGTGCAAAGAAGAACTCTGAGGTTGGGGCTATTTATTTTTGACCTTCCAGAGGGCATTTGGCTTCAAAAAGAACAGGGATTTATAGGGGAAAGTGTGCATTCTCTGGAAGTCCAGATGAGCGTTTTACTAAGATGTAGGTTGTTTATTATTCGTCCCATTGGTCCATGCACATCTGGATACCTTCTCCGCTTAAGTCGTTAATTTCGACCTCACTCAAATAGCCACAACATCCCCACCCAGAAAGACGGGGATGCGACAATCTCCCTCCCGGATCTGCGGCCACAGGCGCCTGAGCTGCGTGCAGGAGAGCGTGAGCTCCGGAGGTGCGGGCTCAGAGAGATGGAGGAGCCAGGGAATGCAGTCTGCTCTGGGTGCAGCCAGACAGCAGCTGCACCTGCCACCCCTGGTCCCGGGAGGCGTGCCCAGGATAGTGGCCACCCTGAGCGGGTTGCGGTGCTCTGGCTCACTCCATGCTTGGGGTTCCGGGGTTCTGCGGGTCCCTGGCGTACCCCCTCGCTGGGCCGTGCCCACGCTGCCTGAATGGATGCTGCCCGGCTGCAATCGCTGGGACCGGGGACTCCTCCACCCAACTCCCGCCCCGGCTCCGCAGCACGCCGCACCTGAACCTGTGGCCCTGCAACGCTTAGTCTGCCGGAGGCCAGTACCGCCATCGGTGCCAGCACTGCCTCGCGCCACCTGCCTCACAGCCCGCCTCCCTTTGCTGACCTTTTCCTGCGCGCGGTTGAGCCGCTTCTGCACGTTCTTGGCGAAGATGCCGGTCTTGATGTCGGCCATGGCTGCTGAGGTCGGTGGAGCTGGAAGAGCTGAGCGCGCAGCGGGCCGGCAGCGGCGCGGTGGAGCCTAGGAAGAGGAGGAGGAGCGGGAGGAGGAGCAGCAGAGGCGTGAGGAGCTGAGGAGGCAACGGGTGAGGGAGGGGCACGACAGCGGGAATGGCTTAAAGAGATAGAGGGGAGGCGCGGCCACTAGGGGTGACACAGCCAGGAGTGAGGTACATTGAAAGAGAGGGGAGAAGTCAAAATGCCAAGCACCCAGTGATGGAGGAGGAGGTCTAGAGGCGGCAAATAGGAAAGGCTTCCCGCAGTCCCAGTGGTGCTGCTAAAAGGAGGCTTGCATCAAGGAGAGGCAAAAGGTCTTGCTTCTGTCTCCCCATTAAAGAACGTGAGGATGAGGGGGAAGGGGGGGTCTGTAGGAAACTGACAGGAAAGTCCCTGCAGGACAGTTTGCAAGAGAGAAGGGGTAGAGGGACCATTGTGACGTTTACTTAAATTTGAATATAAGGCTCTGGAGTGGGGACTCTCAGAAGAGAAGGGTCAGCTCCTACACACTGGTGCTGTGTGCCTTGCTAGCTCTTAAGTTACTGCACTGCAGGCACTCTGGACCAACAGTTTTCCCAAGAAATAGTGCAGTGAGAAGAGCAGACAGGGCTTTCGGATCTCTGGGTCAACTGCCGCCTCCTTAAAAGCCTCCTGACAGTTGTGTTGAAAATCCCACTAGACTGGATCATGAGTATCTATGATGTCAAGTACATTGGTAGGGATCAGAGACGCTCTTTAAGAAGCCTATGCCTGAGATTCTGAATTGTTTCCCGGTTTCTCATTAAAAACTTTTATCTCTGATCCTGTCCCTCTGTCACTCCCTGTTGGTTTGATGTTCCTGTCTGTGGTAGAATGTTATTGGGGGGCATCCCTGTCTTTAAGAGGTACCTGTCAGTGGGACTAGAACTTTGATAGATTTCTTGCACCTCGGTAGTCCTTCTCCCAAAGGACATCATAACCCAAAGGACATCATAACTGCAGATGCTCAGACCACCAGTGACACAGAATCAGTGCTTTGGCCAGGCCAATTTGCAATGACATTACTTGCCTCCAAGTTAGGAAGACAGACAGATTTGATGCTTTTGCCAACTCACCTCTGACACTTTCTCCTGCCTTTCTGGACTTTTTCTTCTATGATTACATTTATATTTAAGCATCACATCTGGTCTATGTGGGGCTTTGTGATTCCTCTGCAAGATGATTGGGTCCTCAGAGGATGGTATAAAATAAGGAATGTGGGCAGGTCATTGGCTCCCCTAGGTTCTGAGATCCTGACAGCTTTTGTCAGTGCAATGTTGCAGTGTGACCCTTACACTGCAGAGTGGGGAGGGTGCACCATCTATTTTTTATATGAAATTACTTGTGATACAGACTTTGAAATGAGAGCTTGGAGGGAAAGTCTGATAGACTCCTCTATTGGAAACCTAAGAAGCAAGCCAGGTAATTCTTTCCTTTTGAGTACAACATTAACAGCATGAGCCCGACACAATGAGGGTATCTCCACTTTTTGTTGGGTTTCCAGAATTGTTGCTGCTGTTTTTCCTAAGGATCTATTTTTTCCTCTCCTTTCCTCTTACTCTTTCTCTGTTTATCTCTGTGTGTGTGTGTGTCTCTCTCTCTCTCTTCTTCTTTTCCTCTACACTTGTAACATCACATCTATATGGCTGAAGAAGTAATATAGTCCCTTTTCAGCTGTATGTCCTGCTAATAGATATTGTACAGGATTCCATGTATCATTAGGATATGTCCTATATTTTAATACTATTCCTTATGTTTCTTTTATACCTTTGATTTTATTTTGTTCCTTGTAATTTTAGTTAGTAGATTGTATTTTAGCCATTATTGACATTATTTTGGAAAAGGGATATAGTTTCTTTTTATTTTTTGATACTTTATTTTATTTGTTATTGATTCTATGGGAATTTTACATCATGTACCCCAATATCCCAGTCCCTCCATATCAACACCTCACCACTGCAGTGTCTCCCCAAAGGAAAACTAACAAAGAAATAGTAAAAATAAGATAAAGATTTTAAAAAGAAAAACAATAATAAATAAATAATACAAATAGGAATATAAATTTCAGTTAAAAAACAAATACTTCACTCCTCTGTCTGCCTCTCTTTGTTCCTAGTGGCACTGGGAGCCACTGCGTACCACACAGTATACCCTTTTGCACAAACAGTTCCTTTCAAATGTTCATTGCATAATATTTCATTGGTCGGGTCCAAGACTTCTGGCCTCTGGTACACCTTGGACGCTGGACCCCCACAGAAACTCCCTGGACATCCCATTGTCACCCCCAAGTCATGTAGACCATGCAGACATGGCTCTCTAGGACAAATCCTTTCACAGACTCCAAGAGGTCACACATGGGGTAGATGTTGCGGTGTGCCAGGTTAAAACCCTGAATGTGTACCTGGGTGACTGCTAAGTTGATCATACCAGGTGCTGGGATCATCCCCTCTTCTGCACCCATGGAAAGGGATGGGGTCATCTTCCCCAAGTGTTGGGGGCCAACTCTTCCATTAAGGGCAAGGCCAGATTTCCCATATTGGGATCATTGGGGTCCACTATCCCAGGGTCTACAAGGGACAGAGTCAACAGTTCAGTGAAGGGGGCTTAGCCAGGCCTGTGAGGGGCAGGTCCAACTCAGGAAAGTCCTTGTATTCAACACATGGGTCACATGGGACCCTGTGGTAACATGGACAATGGACATCAACATTGACCCCCAGCTGTGGCAGGATCATGAACCCAGACATAACCAGCAGCAGCAGCTTGGGCATGGATGTCACCATGGACCAGAGTGGCAGAGTATGCCTTTCAGATTGGCATGGACCCAGCAGTAACATGGTCCCCAAGATTCTAACATGGTCCCAGGTGTCAGTAGAAACCCCAAGTACTTCCATGGTTCCCAATGACAACAGGAGCCACAGACCCTGCCTGCTGTAGGGCCATGGACCCAGACATGGCTCTCAGCCACAACTCAAGCCCAGACATCTCCATGGCCATGTGGCAGCCCAGTCCACTCATATTGGGATGACACCTGCAATGGAGTGGCTATTAGGCACCAATGTAGCCACAAGGTGATGGCCCAAAAACCCGGCATCCTCACAGCCTTCGGAGGTAAAAGGAGTCATGGACATCAACACAGACCATAACTGAATCAGGGTCACTTACCGAGAGATATGGCCCCTAGCAGGAACCCGGCACCAACATCACCAGGGACGAGGTGGCAAGCAGGCCTCCCATATCAGCCTGTTCCTCACCACCTTTGACTTTACAGATCTGCCTCTCTCCAAAGGGCACAGAGTTCCCTGCCTCTCTCTCCCTTTCATACCCTTTCACACATTTGTTCTCAAAAATGGCGCTTTGCTTCTTTCTGTCTCCTCAGGGCAAAGTACTCAGGGTAGCATGTTTGAGTCTGTTCTGCTACTGGGTCCTAAAGACACCAAGCATGGCCTAGCCCCCCCCCACTACCTCCCCCCAACCAAGAGCAATCTACACCGGAGTGGCATGTAGTATATCTACTGCTCACTGGGACATATTTTCTTTTTTTGTTTTTTGTTTGTTTGTTTTAATTTTTATTTTTAAATTTAAATTAGAAACAAGGTTACTTCACATGTCAATCCCAGGTCCCTCTCCCTTTCTCTTCCCTCCTCCCATACCCTCCTACCAAAACCCCCTCATTTCCCCAGGGAGGGTGAGGCCCTCCATGGAGGTGTCCATAGTCTGTCATTTCAGTCAGAGCAGGGCCTAGACCCTCCCCCCCAAGAGTCCAGGGTAAGAGTGCATCTCTCATTGTTGGATGGGCACCCAAAGTCCATTTGTATGCCAGGAATAAATACTGATCGACTACCCAAGGCCCAATAGATTGCCTAGGCCTCCTTACTGACACCCACATTCAGGGGGTCTTGATCAGTCCCATGCTAGATTCCCAGGCATCAGCCTGGGATTCAAGAGTTAACCCTTGTCAGGTCAGCTGTTTCTGGGGTTAAACCAGACCAGTCTTAACCCCTTTGCTCATCAGTCCTCCCTCACTGTCACTGGGTTCCTTGAGTTCAGCTCAGTGTTTAGCTGTAGGAGTCTTCCTCTGCTTCCATTAGTCATTGGATGTTCCCCAGACTCTCTGGCCATGGGACTGTAGGCTGGCACTCCCCAGATCTATGTCTAAAATCCATATATGAGAGAGTGCATACCATGTTTGTCTTTTTGTGACTGGGTTACCTCACTCAGGATGGTTTCTTCTAGTGCTAACCATTTGCCTGCAAATTTCAGGATTCCATTGGTTTTTTTCTGCTGAATAGTACTACATTGTGTAAAAGTGCCACATTTTCTCTATTCACTCTTCATTTGAGGGGCATCTAGGTTGCTTCCAACTTCTGGCTATTGCAAATAATGCTGCTATGAACATAGTGGAACAGATGTCCTTGTTGTATGAATGTGCATCTTTTGGATATATCCCTAAGAGTGGCATTGCTGGGTCTTGTGGAAGACTTATTCCCATTTTCCTGAGGAATCTCCATACTGATTTCCAAAGTGGCTGTATGAGTTTCCACTCCCATCAGCAGTGGAGGAGTGTTCCCCTTTCTCCACAACCTCTCTAGCATAAACTGTAGTTGGTGCTTTTTATTTTAGCCATTCTGACAGGAGTAAGATGGTATCTCAGAGTTGTTTTGATTTGCATTTCCCGGATGGCTAGGGATGCTGAGCACTTTCTCAAGTGCCTCTCAGCCATTTTAGACTCCTCTATTGACAATTCTTGGTGTAGTTCTGTAGCCCACTTTTTAATTGGGTCCTTTGGTGTTTTGGAGACTTGTTTCTTAAGTTCTTTGTAGACTTTGGAGATCAGCCCTCTGTCAGATGTAGGGTTAGTGAATACTTTTTTCCCATTTTGTAGGCTGCCTTTTTGTCTTGTTGACTTTGTTCTTTGCCTTACAGAAGCTTCTCAGTTTCAGGAAGTCCCATGTATTAATTATTGACCTCATTGTCTGTACTACTGGTGTTATGTTCAGGAAGCTGTCTCTTGTACCAATTTGTTCATGGGTATCA